AGAGAGAGAGAGAGAGAGAGAGAGAGAGAGAGAGAGAGAGAGAGAGAAGACACTCGAGCTACTAAGGTATGAAGTTATGGCATTCTATAATTACAGGAATATAACTCCACAGAAGCCAATTCTCGCTCGAAGCTCAAAAGACATAATTTGTCCTGATCTCACGCTGTCAACCCTCGAGATTCACACTCTGGAGCAGAGCTACCTGAGCTTTTCTGAGACAATCTCTTGTAATTATAAAGGCCACAGCGACCACACATTGAGAGCACCATTCCACATGAGACATAATTGATTCATATCCGGAGTCATTCACGGCAATTATGAACGATGCACAGGCGCTTGCAGAGCTACGAGCAATTTCCCAGCTGTCCAAGTTGAAGTAAAGGGCACATACACAATAATTGGTAATAGCGGTGCACAACAAAGGTCCACAGCAAATAGGAACAAAAAGAGACATCAAAAAGGGGCTCGATTATACATCTTTCTCTCCAGAGACGCAGCTTCTAACAAAGAGGATAAATAGTTCTGACATTCTATCACCCAGATTGTTTCTTAGTACAATCTGGTTTATTTCCTGTGAAAGTTTGATGAATCCTGCTAAAATGTTGCCCACCAAATGTAAGTAACAGCTGTGATGCATCACCTCAAAATTGCACCTGAGAAAGGAGGGCGGGTTTTGTGCAAGCTGAATCAATGTACTATTAAAAAACACAATGTGTTATTTTTAACCGTATAAAATGTTGTTGTAAGAGCCCTTTAACAAAGTAAGCAAAACAACTAGATTCATCTTTTTTTGGTGCTCTCACCTTCCTCCATGGCCCTGGTGATGGCAGCACACAGGGTCATGTAGCCCGTGTACGTGGTCCCTTCATAGGTCACCTCACACTGTTGAGTCTCTTCCTCGGGCCAAAAGGAGAAGTTCATGGTGTCTACCACAAACACCCAGTTCAAGGCCTGCGACGTTGAAAAAGACAAATTATCAAGAGAGCAGGAAAAAAAAACCTGAGGCTTCAACCGGAATGCATAAACTGTGCAGTGAGCAAGGAGGCAGTCACTGCACTAAAAACTAAACAGGTAAAAGAACGGATAACAGACTGTTTAAAAAAGGTGAATTCACTTTGAAGCCTTCATTTAGTGGGGATACATTTTCAAGTCTTTCACCAGGGGATGTACACTTGTGGACACAGGTGATGCTAAAGGTACAAACATTCAATTCACCAGTGGTTGTCTTGAATTATTATTTTACTGTTCAGCAAAAATGAACCTCTAAGACATCTATGACATTATTTTTCCAGAATAGTGCTTTTCCTCCATTCATGGCCAGTTTTCATTAATCAAGAATTTAGGGTAACCTGGTCTCTTTTAATTCATTGCTGTTGCAATGTGCACTACGTGATTCACTTCTCATGTACTCTAATATTCTATTTCTCTGGGTGGTCCTGGCTGTTGACGGACTCCCCTGGTCAGAGGTGGGTGCTGGAGCCAACGGATTCGCCTTCTTCCAGCCGCTGGCGGTCAGATCGTCACTGTGTCGGAGGTTGTAGAGCATCTCTGCCACCTTCTGCACGCCTTCCTCTTCGACGAACACGTCCCGACTCCGCTCCGCTATGAACTGCCCAGACTCACGTGGGAACAGAAGTGGCTCCATGATGGACACTGTGCTACTGTATGGAGAGGACGGGTCACATGTAAATGTAGAATACATTCACCGGCAGCCCCTACATGAATCAAAGGAGATAATGTAAATAAGTACATGTTTCCTTCTGCTGCTGTACATCAATAGAAGCGTTAGATAGGCCTATTTATTTGCTTTTGTGATTTTCAGCTCCTTCATACTCCAAAGACATTGGAGTTGAGTAAGCAAGTTCTTTTGTTTGAGGAGTCTTGGTTATAATCAGACACATTACAGTCTTCGTGAGCAGCCTCTATGAGCATTGGTGGGTACGGAGGGAGATGTGAATGCCAGTGCCCTTTTCATACTGAAACACCAATATGCTCCATACATCTCTGGGGAAGTTCCATTTGGAAGATAATCTCCCTGCTTTATTAGATCATTCATAATGAAAATACATCAAGAGGGGAGAGATGAATCGAAGCAGGAACATGTCTTTTTAAAAAGAGAAAATCTGTGCTGTTTTGCAAACTCCCTTCACAGTGTTTTTAGGGTAGGACTTCACTCTCATCTCATGCAGCCGAGGTGCACAAAGCAGAAAAGCCCTGCACACAGGACCACCTCTGACCAATCCCATTATTAAAACCAAAAGAACTAAATTAGATCCTTCTTAGAGAACCTCTGAAAGCTGCCTGGATCTACTCCATCTATCCGCGGTGTTTAATGGCTGTGTTAATGATGTGCTCCCTATCAGACTGGTACGATACTGTGACGCCAAAACAGAGCGACCCCCTGGAGGAAATTCATTTTCACTCTTCTTTCTGTGCTGAGACAAATTATTTTTAAAAAGTCGTTTTTCATGGAAAGAGCAGTATTGTGCGCGAGTTAATAAAATATGCCCAGGTAACCTACATCACGTGATCACGTTTCACTGAAAACTGGGCGAGCAAAGTGCATGTAGTAACTGACTGGAGTAATCCAGGTTTTTCACCACTAATACGGACATTACACAGCGGATTGTTTTCCGATACAAACTTCCTATTCAGCGACAATGTTCGCTTTATTTTCCATTCATAAATGAACGTTTGACTAAACTTACCGATGAATGCAGAGGAAGTAACGCTGTCGCCTACAGCAAGCGCGTGATCCTTCGTGTTTCCACTACCTGGTTTCCAGCTGTTGACCAATCAGAGCCTCCGTTGTGAGCTCGTCGCCGGCCGATAAACCAATCATAAGAAGCCAGGAGAGGAACCCAGAAAACGTGATGTCCATGTTATGGGCATGGAACCTTTAACACGGTATGGGTTCCTTGGTTATGGATACGCAAAACAACGTGTAAATATATATTTAAAAAAAACGTTTTATAGAAATTAGATATGCTGGGCCAGTTAAAAGTAAAATGGTGTAATTTCAGAGGTACAATACATCCAGTAACCATCCAATTAATAAATTGATGTCATTTTTAAAGCAAAATTGTCACAAAAAAGTCCAGCTTCTTTGATGTGAAGATGTGCTGCTTTTCTTGGTCGTATATGATAATAAATAATATTTTAGAGTTTGTACATACCAATTTGCAAGTGTGCTTTTTGTGGATATTTTCACAATTTTCTGGCATTGAAGACAATCTTATAACTCACTTGGTCCAGAGAACAATCTACAGATTAATATATGAAACGGATCCACCTGCAATGATTTTGCAATTAAAAATGCAAATTGGTTCAGTAAAAAGTGGCACCATCTTTATTCATTTTACAATTTGACAATGTGAAGTCTACAGCATGGAGAGCAAACAAGTGTAGAGCACAGGAAATTGCAGGGACAAAATAGATGCATTCAATATCATTTGTCAAAACTCGAATAAAATGTCAAAACAAATGTCTAGCTACACATTTCCATTTGTGAAGAGGTATTGAAATTATTCGAATTGATGTCATCACACAACTACCATGGATATTCTTACAAATTCTTCTGTATCTGGTTTGAACAAGAGTCCCAACTTAAACATCCCCAAATCCATTCTGAAGGGTGAAATTTCCCACATCTCTAAAATAAAAACAAACGGTTCAAAATTAAAAGAATTGTAGCTTACATTCTGCAAGTTGCACAGAGTGGTAATGTGGTACAAATGTGTGTGAAGGGACCGATAGAGAAGCGAAAGCACACCCAACCCAAGCACGTGCGCACACACACACACACACACGACAGATTTAAACCGGAGACACAAGCATACATATACAGGTCATAAAATCAAAACCATCAAAAAATGAAGGTTTATTTTTGTCTGTCAGGAGACTGAAGAATAATTTGATAGATGTGAATGTTAAAAAACAAAAAAAGCAAAGTGTATGAGATAAACTAATGACCACACTCTTAAAATGCGGCGCATCTACATTTTCTTTTATGCACAGGAATGTTGGACATATGTTTCATTAAAAAATACAAAAATAAATTCAAAAGACACCCACAATCCAGAATAATAGTCTGAAGGGGATGTGTTGGAAAGGGGGCAGGGGGGAGGGGGGGGGGCAATCTGAGTCTGCTTCAATCTGAGTCTCCTGGGTCTACAGCAAATGACCAGAGTACTGCTTCACACTGAAATAAAAAGAGTGGAAAAATAAATAAAATACACAAGAGGAAAATTGCAATTCACAAGTCAACGATTGTGTCAATATATAGCTATGCAACTGTAGCAGGATGGGATCTTGGGAGGAAACGGGTGAGGAGGCAGAGCAGGAAGGGAGACGGAGCGGGAAAGACAGACGGGCAGAGAGAGTACGACGGGGGGAAGATGTGAAATAAATGGCCGACTGAGAGCGAGGAAGAGGAGGAAAAAGAGGGGTGTGGTTAGTCCTTGTGTCCAAGCAGGTGCAGCACACTGAAGAGGAAGGGGGGGAGGAAGAGGGAGGCAGGGTTAGTTACCATGGCAACACTACACTACAGCTGTATTAGCAGTCGTGGCTAAGCTCGGATAGCATCAACAAGGAAGTAGTGTGCATTATACATGCCTACTGGTTGCCAAGGGAGACAGAAGAGGAGGAGCCTGTGCTATTTGGCAGACTGTGATTTGTTGTCGGTTGATCTAACTAAAAACAACAAAATCACTAGTCTTCCACACAGCAGCAGCCAGGGGAGAATCAATCCACTCCCTGCTTCACACTGAAACGGCTTGGATGGATTTTTTTTTTTTTTAAACTTCTACCAAATCATATTCAATGGACAAATATGACAGTCAAAGAAGCATGTCAATTACATTGACCCTTTGAAAATAAAATGCTATTGACTTTGCTTACTCATTCACAGCCATTTCATGCAAGAGGAAGGTTTTTACTAGTTGCAGGTTGCATGGGGAAAAAGGAAGGGGGTTAGTGGAGAAGAGACAGCAGGCAACAGAAATACACAACCCAACAACAAGTGGGCTAGCTAGTAGTAAGAGGCAATTTCAGAAAAAGACATTTATGCATTTATAATCTTAATATGTATGCGTGTGGAACAAAGGGTTGAAAGAGGTAGAGAAAGAAAGCATCAGTAGATACTTTTAGCTTGCATGAGTTTACAAGACTGCACTCTCTGAGATGGTTGCTTAAAGCTTTTACAAGAGCTCAGGCCAGAGCCTACATGACAATGTCAGAGGTTTTGAAAGCTCGTCAGTTTGATGAGCACAATTTCATGGCCTTCATGGTTCAACTACAACTAGGCTGCTGAATCAAGACAGAATTCAAGTGTACTCATTGTAAGGCAATGTGAGAACTTACCTGTTCTGTAGAAGGTACTGGGCGTTCTGGATCTGATCCTGGGTGCCAGTAATTGTGATTATTCGGTCCTCAGAACCTTCCAGAGGCTCATCGATCTTGATTGAGGCTCCTGACTCGTGGCGGATCTGTTTGATCCGCTGGCCTCCCTTACCAATGATGGAGCCAGCCAGCTGTCGGTTGGGTACGGAGGAGAGAATGAGAGGGAAGAAAAGACAAACATGGGGAGAAACATTTTAAGCACTGGGAGAAGATAAAAAAAAAAGGTAATATAGTATGTATGACATGCTCAAGAAAATACGAGTTCAAGCTGTTTAGGAAGAGATGAATACTACTACTTCTCAAAGGACGTTTGTCGGTTACACTGAAAGACTACCGAGTCTAGAGCGAGGTCAATGTGGGGGAGACGACAGGACTTATTGGTCATGATGCACAACTAGTAGACTATGACACAAACGCATGACTAAATGTAATTTTTAAAATAGGTTAATGAGAGTGTGCAGATGACATGATCACATACGGTAATGCAGGGTTTTTATTACGTCCGACTGAATGTTTCTTGACACGAGGGTATAGTGGGTGAGGTACACCGATTTGTCTTTGGTGTGCCAGTTTTTATGTTACGTTGCCGTCATATACTCACATCTTTAGGGATCGTCACTTGTGTGGTAATGACGGGGCCACCCATGTCATTATAGGAGCCACGTCCGCCTGTTGGCCAGGGGGGAGGAGGACCACACAGACATAAGAGAGAAAGTAAGTAGAGCACTTGAAATCAATCCTCGGCTGCCAGCATTGTCACACACAGCTCAGCAAAAATTCCCCATGATTCTGATTGAAAGAAGGTGTGAAAACTCACCTGACTGGTAGCTATCCCAGGAGGAAGTGTTGTCTGAGCAGGAGAGAAAACTCAATATAAACATTATGTCTGACATTTATAAACAAATCACCCACTTAAATACTAAACTCAAACATGTGACTCATACAAGATCTTCTGAAGAAAAAATTAGCTCTGTGTGTCATCCTAAACATTTGCTGTAAACTAAGATTATCTAAAGAGAATTCATTGTACCTGGAAGTAAAATGTCATTCTACTAGAGTTTCAATGCTCCAACGTCTAAATGTGAGCTGCAATGTCCTTCTAGCCATGTTGACACTGTACACATTTAGTCATATTGTCTATGAACAACACATTCAGACTACATGCTACACTACAGTCTGCTGAAGAGAACCCCGAGGGCTCCACACAGACACAAACCAACAGCCTTGAAACCACATTCATATAATGACACAGGCAAAAACAACAGACAGAGGCTTAGTACTCACCATATCCTCCTCCACTCTGTAAGAAGCAAACAGAAACACAACAGGGTTACATACGGTACGGTCGATTCGTTTCATCTTTCTACACATCCCAGCTGAATGGACAGAGGACTGGAAGCACAGCTCTATGATGATGATGATGATGCAGCTTCGTCAACGGAGCAGACTCGACTAAAAACCCGTTTTCATCCATAAGCCAAACTCCTCCTCCTTTCGTTCCCTCCCTCCCTCCCTCCCTCCCTCCATCCATCCATCCCCCCTTCCCTTCTCTCCTTGCATCTCCATCAGCCCCCATTTTTACCTGCTATTATACTGCTGCTGTCACCAGGGCAACAGGCAATTCAAAAAGCTGTTGCTGAGCAACGGCAGGCAGTATCCTGTTAGCTCACAGAGAGAGTGAGAGAGGCGGGAGGAGAGAAGAGAGCGAGAGGAGAGAGACCTTCCAGTCTGTCAACAAAGCGTTATTATTGCCTAGCAACCAACCATGGCCACCCCCACCCCCAACATCCTCCCCGTCTTCGCAGGAGAAACCGGCTGGCCATGAAAAGTACACAGTAAGAGAGCAATTATAGCTGATTTTTATGGGGTATCTCCGACTGTGGTGATTATGGTTATTTGGTGGCTTACGCCATGCAAACACTATCTTGAATGCTTCCAGGGCTCAGATGAGTGTGTGCACACGAGGGACCAGCTACAGTTGTGTTGTCAGTAAACTCTATTATCATTACAGCACAATGGACAATCGCAGCATATTGCTTCGTGCTGGGACCAACCAGTGTGCAAGCCTGAGAACACTGGCACCCAAGAGCTGCATGCAAGGGTCACTAACCATGTTATCACTGTAGCGATCCGGTCTGCCTCTTCTGTCACTGGTGATGAAATGATTGGGGGGAGGGAGGGAGGGGGAGAGAGAGAGAATGGGGGGGGGGGGGGGGCAGAAAGAAACATAAAATGCTCAGAAATTATTTTTTTTGACAACATTCCAAAGGAAATTTGTGGTCTAGGTCAAACTGCACACACGCTGAGCAAGATTACAGTATAAACACATTTCCTCTCAGCCATCTTCCCACACAGTAACAGGAACAGCTCTGACAGTGTTATGGTGAGAGAAGTGACAGGTGGTGGTGGTGATGATGATGATCAGAGCCATGGGCGGCTGATTCCCCCCCCCCCAAAACTGAGCTCAAATAAAGGAATTTGCTGAAGAAACATTTGGCTTTATCTGGTACTCGTGCTGTTCTTGGATGTTACCTTAATGTGAAACTACAGCCTGTACAGAACTTCATACGGCTTGTTGCTTTAGCCTGACAGAGTTTCTCCGTAGCCACGTTGTATTACACATTGGTGTTATTAGCTATAATGGTACTAATGTAAATAGTGGGTAGGGCAGAGCTTCCCATTTTATGTGTAAAAGTCTGCCAGAATGTTGCATTCAAATGCAACAGTACATATCAAAAACTGACTTCTCCAATTACAAGTCAGCATGCCGTTTTGCAAGGGCACTCAGGTGACGAAAGTCAGCTTTATATCAGCACATGACCATCATATACACCACCAACACAACTACTTCCTCTCAACCTGGGCAAAACTGGGAGCGAATAGCAGATTGGATATCAACACAGGAAAGACGTGGTTGTACAACATTAGTGTAGTTCCCTACAAAGTGGGACAGGTGAATTGGGATCAGGGTAAGGGACTTAAGTTGCATTCACACCAAATCAGGCATTGCGGCGAAACCGGCAGTCCTCATTCATTTGAATGTGGGAAGTGCGTTTAATCTGCGGCGGTGGGGACGCTGTAAAAACACACTAAGCGAAAAGTTAAAAGGAGAACAAACATTTGGAGAAACGCAAACAGACGTCACGCTGCAGTGGCCAAAAACGTAACCGGTGATCCAGAGCTTTACAACCCCGCTATTAGGGAACAAAGGAAATAATTGTTGTGCGGCCAATTGGTGTTAATGGGCAATAAATAAGTGACACTCCCATATCGACACACAACCTTGTGCTAATCACTGCAATGCATGATTTGGTGCCAATGCAGCCTTATGCTGGCTAGGGGACTACAGGCAAACGGAGAGTAGAGCAATGGATGTTTGTAAGGCAGTCATTAGTGTTGAGAATTAGGGATGACAGGAAGACAAAAGGGATACAGAGTGTTATTAAGAGTTACGAGAGCAAGTAGATAACCAGGCATATTCAACAAAATGCAACAATAAAGTATTAACGCAGGAAAATATGGGATGTGTAGGAATACCTCAACACATACAATGTAATTTTAATATTAATTCATTTTAAGTTTTTTTCTAATGGAAATTATGCTGAACATTAGTAAATGATCCTCACTAAGACCAAAGGATAAAATGCTACTCTACAATGAGGAAGCACCACCCAATGGTATTAATGAGGACTGTTTGCTTCGTTGAATTGCCTTTACAGAGCACCTACCTATATTGTAGTATCAAATGACAGAACATCAAAGTATCCCTGTTAGGATAAGTTAGGAGGTTCGGGCAAAGGTTTGGGGACAGAAACTTACTTGGACCTGTCCTCTGAGCCACGGTACGAGTCATAGTAACGATCTTCTCTGTGGGCAAGATGGAGATGGGAAAAAGACACACAAACACACCCAGACATACAGTGATGAGCACATACAATTTATGGAATGATAACCGTGAATACAAATGTTTCCAGAGGGGTGCATAGTGCGACACTGGACTACATGCAGAACACTGGACTCAGTTTAACCTCTGAATTAGACAATGCAAAGCAAGTTGAGCAAGTGAGCCCGACTGGAAACTAAGCCCCTGAAGAGGGATTTAGCTTTGTGTACGCAGATGCAGAAGGAAACAAGTGCTATAGAATGTATGTGGGAAATATCAAACACTTACAAGTCAAGAGGTTAACAGGAGTAAGAGGACTCTCAACTTCAAACTGATGAGTAGGATCATGAAGTCACTTGGCATTTCAGTGTTCAGTAAAACAAAGAATGTGTAAAAGATTGTATCTGCATTAGGCATCGAAACCTGCCCACTTCACTGATTGGCTAGGGTCCGTTACACCTCTACTTACAAACTCAATTAAGTGTCCACGCCTTTGCAGGACAGAAAAGAAAAAGCAAAGTCGGAGAGCGACAGAAAAGAGCACCAGACGGTAGATCCTTTGTGATTGTGTCTTACCCTCCTCTGTGTGGGTGTCCCATAGGCATGCTGCGTCCACGCCCGCTCCCCCTGACAGCCCTACTCGGGTGGGGTGGAGGAGGGCCTCGGCGGGGGCTTATCTCATCGTAATCACGGCGAGAAGGAGGCATGGGTCCCCGCCCCCCTCTGCTAGAGGGCATTCGTTCAAACCCACGGTCTCCACCGCTGGACCTGCTCCCACGCATGGGGAACCCTCCCATCAGCCTGCGACCTCCTCCCCTCTCTTCAAACATTACGGTGAAACCACCATATTCATACGTTTCGTCGTAGAAGTTGGGGTCGTAGGGCTGCGCACGGCCCTTTATGGGAGCCTAAAAAAGGGTGGACAGAAGGGAGATCAACTGATCTGCTCAAATATATTTCAAATGCAGTTTACAAGAATACAGGTGTGGAGGGAATAAATGTGCAACTATTAACAACAACAACAACAACAATACTATACTCCTGACATAAAACTAAATCTCACTGAAAGGGCATTGAATGTATTGATGCAACATAATTTAAAAAAAAATAAAAAAATCTGCTGGAGTTTGACATGCTGTTGACACTTGATTGTCCTCCATTACGCAACATTTTATATTTCCAAGCAATGTATTGTGAATCAGAAAAAGGATTCAATATGTTGCATTTCTTCAATGTATTATTCTCGCCAATGACAGAAAAAGGGCCTCTGGTCCACTGCAAGAGATACTCACTTCAGCGATAAGCTCCAGCATCGTCTTGATACACTCGACCACTCTCTCAGTTTTACCGCCGACCAGCACCACACGGTCTGTTGACTGAGGACAACACTCCTGAAACAGCTTGATGCTGGTCTTTGTGTTCTAGAGACACAGATACAGGCGCACACATGAGGATCACAGAAAGATCCAAATGATACAGCAGCTGATTCCACTTTAGAAAAACATTACAGTTCACACATCAAATCACAACTGTGTCATTTTATGGGTATATTTTCGCATCTTTGAGGTACATGAAGTATTCTAGGACATAAAAGATTGAGCCAGAGGAAAATAACAGTTAGGAAAACAAATAATAAGCACAAACCATACAAAACAAGACAAAAAAATTCATTCCCCGTTATACCTCCAGCTTCATTTCATGAAGAGTATTCTTGTTACAACTGACGTAGGCTGTGTGAGAATCCATGTTGTACATTACTCACACAAGTCAGTCTGTTAGCTGCTTTGCAACTGATTTAGTTGTAAAAAACAAATCCACACCCCATCAACATACCTCTCTGAGCTCCTTGATCTTGGCTCCCTTCACTCCAATGATCGAGCCAGCCAGGCTCTGATGGATCAGGAGGCGCAGCTCACAGTCAAAATCCATACCATTGTACTGCTGGTACTGAGCAAAACATGTCGCATGTTAGTACTTCGGCACAGTCTATTTAGTTCTCTGAAAGTCTCAAATGTGCCCAAGACTTGGGTTTATTTCTAATTAGAGCAATATCATGCACCTAAAAGGCACAAAATAGGCACATGGCAACAGTCTTATAAAAAGCCTCAAAAGGTAGCTCAGACACAAGCAAACATGTTTTGAATAAGTCAAGTTCAATTAAACCACTTATTTGCAGGTGCAAACAATATCAAAAGCGCACAAAACGACGAAAAAAAAAAAAAAAAAACTGAAATAGAAAGCATCTCGGCTACACAATGGACATTTACAACACATAGCTTGGTGATAACTGTTAACATCCACCATTGCTTTCACTTTTAAATAAATGGTCTAGTTCATTGGGTTCAAAAGGACTTGACATGAAGAGAAGAAACCAAGTTCAACAAGTCCTCACCTCTTCCAATGTTGGGATGATCTTCAGCAGGATTTCTCCAACTGTCTCGATGTCAGCACTGATGCTCAGGATGCTTCATAATTCACAAAGATGATGGGGTTGGGGTAGCCAGTAAGACACCCCAGGGGGGAGGGAACAACATTTGAGATTAGAGAACTCATAACATCCCCTTCCATGCCATAAAAAAACCAGCCACACCCCATTTAACCAACTCACTACTGAAACTAACACAGCCATATGAACTGTTGAGATCCAGTGTTTTCTAAACTTGGTCATGGTCACTGATAATTCACCACTGTAAGTGGAAAAACTGGTATCCAAATATGCAATGAAAGAAAACAGTCATTTATCCAGAGAAAGGAAGAAAAGAGACAAAATAAAAAAAGGACCCAAAGAAAAGTGACTGCATTTGGTGACCACTGAAGGGGCGAGACAGGGGGGGAGGGGGGGGCGTAAATCTGAGGAGGATCTGGCAGGAATAAGCACCAAAGGTGCCAAAGAGAACTCTATAGTCCTAAAGCATAGCTGGGTGGATGCACACCACAAAGCCTTCAAAGTGCCTAACACAACGTTGAAAGATTAGGGACGACTGAGAGAACCAATGACTCCTCTCTCAAATTTTTAACCACGTTTATCAAAGCATCCCGTCATTCAATAATAGCCTGGATAGAAATGTAGATGCTTCATTTTGGCCAACGATAATATATAGAATCTTGTTGTCTGCACCCACCTAGTTAAACAATAAAATAAACAATGGATTTACTGATCAAGGTAACTTAAGCACAGTTTGTACATGGGAGTAGAATGGTAGACAACTGAGGGAGAGCAGCAGAGCAGATTATACCATGGAAAATTAGGGTTGCCACCGCTATTTAAGGGGATGGGAGAAGAAATAAACGCAACACCAAAGAATGCATGGATGAGTGGGATAGAGAGAGATAATCTGTACGTTCAATAGCTCCAGTAGTCAATAACAAAGTTCAGATGAAGCAGAAGACAGGAAAGGAAAAACACACACACAGACACAACACTTGAATCCTAGCTTGCCTTTTGCGTTTCAGAATGGATGGACAATCACGGGTCTATCGGTACAATTATAGCATCTCAAGGAAAGAATGGGATGGTGCGAGAAGCAGGTGAGCTTATGAAAGTAACGGGGGAAAAAACAAGAACACCAGTATATCCACTCTGAGGGGGGAGGGAGGTGAAAACGCAAAGATAGTGGAGGGTAATCATCAGCAAAAACATAATAAAAAAAAACAGATATACTGCACAGATTAAAGCAAAGATTTAAAAAGACAGTGGCAGATTGTGGAAAAACCCTGACAACACCATCCTAAGTTTATCTTAATGTTGACGTGACTTTAAAAATGGCATATAAAAAGGATCTCGACATGGCTTTTACAGGCAGATTTGGACATGAACGCATTTAGGCATTTTGACTCAGGCTAAAATACTAAGAGAACAGGTAGGTTAAAATACAGTGACTTGACAGAGGCAGGATGACTATTTATTATTCATCTCTTTTTGTTTGTTTGACCTGTAGTCAGGCAGTGAGAGGGAGGAGCTTAGGGACATACCGCTCAGGCCCACTGCTGTCTGGGACTGACACACTGGCATTGAACTGGGCGTGGAATGGGCAGGGGCCAGGGCCATTCGAGCACAGATGTCAATCAAGTAAGGCGCCCATTTAGGGACAGGGCACGATTATGGACAGGGCCAACCAGGGTGTCAGGTGGGCGGGCGCAGGAGGGGCCATCCAGAACATGGGCAACAGAGGAGGAAGTGGGCAAAAGTCAACAGTAAAATAATAAACAAGGGAGAGGGAAGAGGGAAGAGGAATACATTTTAAATATACAGGCTCTACACTGTTCAAACGTGACTTTAATTTGATTCTCTCAGAGATAGGTTTGTCAAAGAGAGAAAAGGAGAAAATGTGACATTGGAAAATGGGTGATGGCATATCAAGAACATGATAAGTTCAATGTTGGGGAATAGACCAGAGACAGTGAGAGAGGGGGGGGTAGAGCAAATTGTGGAGGGCTAGAGAAAGAGGCAATGACATTGAAAGATTAAATATTAGTCAGGTTGCCTTATTAGCTGGCGTTTCAGGTGACCTCATGAACACCGCACTGTGCCAATAAATTTAGATTAACAAAAGCATCAGTGTTGCCACACCAGCATTGTTAAAATTAATTATCAAGATGGAGAAACAAACTGACATGAAATTGGACTTTCGTGCCAGGGGCCAGTTTAGCTGAGGTAATCACATGATTATCATATGAGAATAAAGAGGTAAAATCAACCCGAAATGGTTGATGACGTTTTCATGAACAGAGGGCTAATATCAATACAGACACTCGCTAACCACACCCCATATTAACACAGAAGAAAATATTGCCAATTACCAAAGCAAGTTTGTAAACAGATATCAACAGTAAATGATTGTCATTTTTTTTTTTTACTGCTGTTCCAAAGAGGGGGTGGGTATGTTGGGAGGCTGAACATCAGTGAACGGTAAAATAAATAATACAAAATAAAAATTCTGGGCGTATGATATGTATAAAATGTACTCACGTCTGTACGGAGGGCTTTGATGTTTTTGCCACCCTTCCCAATCACCGCTCCTGCATTCTGAAAATACAAAGCACACTTAACTTATAGCAGCAGTGAGTCAAAGGGGACAAGAGAGGATGCAAAAAAAGAGTTTACATCCCCCCCCAATATTGGTAACCCTTTGAAAAATGTTGGATACATAGACTCCATTGTTTCCCAATTTTTGAGAGATAGCTTATCAAAGGAATTCAACCTATGTGTCTTATGATTTATGGCATTACGGTGTTATACTGCACTAAAGACATTTTTGTTCTCTCTACTTCTAGCCATAGAGGTGCAAGACTTGTATGTTGCAGTGAAAAACAAGTCCATAGTGCATTAAAAAAAAAGGAAGAAACTGCACCGGGTGAGAAGGTTTGAACGTTTAAGTCAAGTGTTTCTATGTCACAGTGCCTGAGTAGCATGTTCATTCTGCCTCACAACCTTAGACACCAAGGGCCAAATTCCTTTGCGTAAATCTGAGATTTACCATCTACCATGACTTAAAAATGTTATAATATATTGTCATAAACATTGAAACAATATTTAGCGAGAATTTGCAGTAGCACAACGTCTGTACAACTACCCCTAATAAAAGGGTAGAAATTAAATTATCCAAAAGATAGAGATGTCATTAGGGCAACAACTAAAAATATGAAAAAATGGATGAAGTACAAGAAATCTGGAGTCTTACTGAAGGGCTGCACAAAACAGAGAGAAACATTGTGAAATGAAAGGCAAACTGATTTACTTTGCTCTGCAGGAGGATGCGAAGCTCAACCATCTCGTCTGAGTTCCTGGAGCGCTTGAATGATTTCTGGTCATCTGCATCCTCAGCAGGGCGCTTACCTGGCATAGGGAGATAAAAACACACACATTGCATAAATAACCCTCCACTAGATATTAAAAAAAAATTAAAATTAAAGACCACAGAAGGCATGAATCAACACTACTATTGCTATCCGATTCTTACATAACACAGATACATTTTAAGGTGTATATATTTATAAAATCTGCCAATAAACTGGTGCATTCTGACAACATAACCGAAAATGTAAAAAAGCTAGGTTTCATACCGTTTGTCTCTGTGTTGCCGAATGAAGTATCGTCTTGCTGTTCAATTTCTGTCTCCATGGTCTTTTGAGAGTGAAGGAGACGGGATGGGCAACGCGGTCCGGGGAATAGGCGGCGGCAGCAGCAGGGAGAGAGATGCAGAAAATTGGCCCCCGTGAGCTGTGGAGGTCTGTCAGCATTGTGAAAAGGAGAAAAAGAAATAAGTCAATTCAAGCTTTGTGCTGGAGATCCAGCTATTCAAGAGCCCGGGATGAGAGGAAAACTGGCAGAAAACCGGCACTCACCGATATTTATTACAGGGACAAGGGCGTGTTGATAGGCGGAACTAAATAAGCAAGAACCAAACAGCTGCTGCGACCTGTCGGGAGGGAGAGGCTAGTTGAAATACTGACATATACTGAAACAAAAAGGCTCAGCGAGAGCAAAATCAACAATTATGATAGAATACATTTTATTCCATTCCCATGTAGGAGTGACTTTAAATGATATTTACGTTCACTAACGTTTCAAGTCAAATAGGTTCATAAACATCCATCCAGCGAGCATTAAAGACAATATTTACTTACTAACAGAATTATAAGAACGTAGCTCATCAGTTATGGTATCGTCACATTAAGAAGATTGTTTTCGTGGAGAGCGAAGAAGGCATTTGCACTGTTTCGGAGAATCAGGAGCTGAGTCAATCAGCCAGTGATTAACGAACAATATTAACATTACCGCTAATGTTAAATGTTGACGTTAAACGCTTACTTTACAGATTGACGCTAATCTACTGCTATCTAAACCAGTCAACACTGCGAGTTCTCCATTTTAAGCCATCTTATAACGCTAACTGAATAACTAAAGCCAGAATTGAAGCAACGTTAGCGAACAGTTGTACTAAGTGTGCTAACTTAGCTAACGTTACCAGGGTTGCTAAATAGCCTGGGTTAGCTACGAGCTCCGTCGTGTTATGTCTGAACCAACGTTAGCTATTAATACATGATCGTACGCCCTTTTCAAACATTGTACTAGTTACATAGGAGGCAAGACGTTGCGATGTGTCTGTGATCTAATGCGAGTGGGTTGATGAAACACGACTTATCGGTCAATACAAAGACCAGTCCGAACCACTCAAGCTAGCGACTAGCTAATTTCGCCATGTTGTAATCAGTTCGGTGGGGCACAAGGGGAGCTAACGCTAGCCAGGCTAATTAAGCAGCGTTGCACCAGACACGACATCCGGAACAAAGTGACTGCCAAATACATATTTATTTGTATATTACCTGTGCACTGAAACTACATTAAGCTCAATGTGGCATCGAAAAACTGGGAAATATCGTCAAAACACAAACCTGCAGTGCAACACCTTACTCGTTCCCCTTCCTTCTCTACCGAACCTGGAAATGTACCCGTTGAGCTAAAGAGTGCCGATTGGTTGAACAGAGAGTAAATCAAACAGGCGAGAGTAACCATTGGCTAGAAGAGACGTCAATCAAAACAGAAGAGGCGTTTCCAAAATAACACTATTAGCTCTATTTCCGGGTGCAGTTTGATCTGCAGGTTGCTCAAGTTGTTCCTGTATATAAGGTGTCATGATCTGCAAGGCTTATGTTACGTGGTGTCTTTCTAGGTACTTGTAGGGGCACAATTGTTATATTTAACAGCTGCGGTTGTATGTAAAAGCCTCTTTAACTTAAACATGTTGTATGGACTCAAAGCTAAGGCATAGTAGCACCAACATTGGTCAACTTTGGCGCCTTAACTACTTCCCACAACACTTCGTGGAAGAGGCTGCCTCCATGACTCGTAGGTAACTTCTATATGAACTTGGACGTTTTATTATTCTGTCGCATGCCATCCCAGCCTGCATTTCTCACTCAATCTGTCCTCACTCTCCTCCACAGTACCCAGACGTGACCACCCGCAGAGACAGAGGGCTTATCACAGCTAATGTGACCACAGCAAAATAATAGTCTCTCCGGGCGATACATCACCACAAGATATACAGAGAGTAGATAATCCCTTAACATAAACACTCCCTTTAAATCCAGAGTCAGCCATTAATAAGCCATTACTGATAAATGTAGTTGGGTATGAATAACGCAACTGGCTTCATATAATAACGGATAACATTGGAGAAATCTCAGGAAGTGGCCTAAGTCAAATACAAACAAAGGACGAGGATGGCCCCTGAGATCCAGGCAGTGGTACATGCTACCCAAGCCTGGCTGCAGTCCTCCTGGCACGTCCAGGTGCCCTTTGCCTGGCTGGAAGCCTGCGTGGAGTGGCTGCAGGAAGAAGCAGGAGGCGCAGGTCGTCTGTCACAGCAGCAAATCAACCAACAGGTAGGCCGGATGTGTGGATGTGTCTGTGCAGCTGAATGCAAAATGACCACAGTCTAGAGTTTGCTCAGTTGTGATATGATGTGTGACTTAAGTATGAGACTTGGGTGATGTGACAACAGGTGGTCGTATATGGAGGGGGAGACGATTACTCCTGTCTCTATTTTAAGATGGTATCCTGCATTGGATGTGAATGTCCTCTTGATCCCTCTCCAGCCATCCATTTACTCCTGGTTGATGACCGTTGACCTCGTCCCAGTTGAAGCTTTAACTGGTTCTGGTGTTTACATACAGCTGATTATGTCTGTTTCCAGTATTCACTCAGTCTTCAGTTTAAGGTCCTTGCCGCTTCACCAATATAGTGTTCCCCATCGCTGTGCGGAGCTGAAATAATTAGTCAATCAACAAAAAAATGAATCTGCAATTTTCAAATATTGTTGACCGCTAAACAAACATGCAACACACAGAAAGCACAACTCATTGAACCTTTGAGCAGACGAGCATCAAAAGCCGTAGGCCTAAGACCGTGCAAGGCTCCACTACTGCCAGCTGAGAAGAGGAAGATCATGCTACAGTGGGTAGGCCTCGGCATAGCTGGGCGATTTGAGGAGTGAAAGAACACCTCCTGGTCTGACAAATCCTGGTTTCTGTTGCAACATGCTGATAGCAGGGCAATTCTTTTGTGTTAAACAGCATGGATTCGTCCTGGTGTCACCAGCTGGTGGTGGCGTCATGTGGGGTATGTTTTCCTCCATTATTGCTACGCCACAGTGTACCTAAATATCGTTGCTGAACAGCTGCATCCCTCCGTGGCCAAAGTCTATCTCGTCTTCTTCTTTTTCAGTTGATACTTGAGGAGGATAATGCTCAGTTTTTCAAGGCACGGGCCAACTCCTGTTGGTTCCAGGAACATGACATGATATCAGTTCACCGAAGTGGCCGACATGGTCGCTTGATCTCAGCCAGGAAGTGCACTTGAACGATTATGGTTAGGATGTTCATATCATGAACAAGAGACCTACTTTTTAATAATTTGATGGCCATTTATGTCATGGAAGTGAACGGAAGTAGTGAAGTATAAACATCTTGTCAAATAACTGATATTACAGAGTGTCATAAAATAGATCTGACAGTGGGGAATAAACTTGTGCCTCTCTGCATGACGTGACATTTTAGGCGCTGGACCAGTGGCTGCTGACGGACCTCAGGGACCTGAGCTACCCTGTTCTCCCTGAAGGACTCTCTCGGGCCCAGAAGACTGAACTCAGCGGCACCTTCTGTGTCCAGGTACAGGCTTGTTGATCATAAATTTTACGCTGTATTTTTAATCTCATGTTTATTGTTGTATGTTATGTTCAGGACAATGCCCATTGATCAGTAGAAAATTATATATTAGCCAGAGTTGGTCTAGAAGGCTAATAAAACCACCATGTTAGGTCTAAACAGCATGCCGAGGACAATATATGCAGCTGCAGCAGAACACAGGTGAGAAGGAGGGGGGAGGGGAATACAAATATCCCCTGTAATAAAAACACAAACAAACTCATGTTACAGTGGAAATGGCAGTCCACATTGAGCAAAGAAATTAACAGAATATTTCCCATTGTGCAATGTAGCTGTCAGGGTATAATGCGCTCACTGAAGTTTGTGTATGTTGTTGTGTTGGCTCTTTAAAAAATGTGGTTGAAGGCATTTTTTGCTGAATAGTATAGCAGTCTAAATTATTCCCATTCACTTTATCATGATACCGTGGGGAAGAGATGATTGGAGTACAATAGAATCCATATTTTAACAAAGCGCCACCGGATTTCAGTTTTCCATCATATGGAAACTCAGCTGGAAACCCTGAGACAGAGTAATTAAATGTGAATTGGTTCCAAGGCTCAAAGATGGGAGCCACAAGATAACAAATAAGACATTCTCATGCACAGTATGTATACATTGTTTTGTTATATGACTGTAGTTTTTCATCTCACTAGATTTTCTATAGAAATTCTCACGCAGGGAAAAGGCAACGTAATCAAAGGTCCCACTCTGTTTTAGGTTGACTCATTGCTGGACATCAGTCAGCCTGCGTATGGTCAGATGCAGAAGTGGAGGGGCTCAGATTGTGCCAACGACGAGGTGTCTGCTGTCACACAGTTCACCCAGAGGCCCTGGGAAGCCAGACCAACCCGAATGCTACTATTGCAGGTCAGAGCCATTATTTGCCATTGTAAATACAATGCTAGTGTGTACAATTCTACTCAATCAACTGTACAACCATATTCTTTGAGCAGACCTGATCTTTGTGTTTGGTCGGGTAGAACAATGTAGAATTCTGCTTTTCTTCCTGACTGAATCAGAGTGGACAGGTACAATCAGTGGGAGCATATAAAAGAGTAAATTGCTGGAATATAAGGAGCAGACAGACTGTAATTTTCACCTTAAGTAATACACTTGTCTCTGCTCTATGGTTTCTAAAGAATAGTGCTGGTGTTGCTTAGAAACGTTGCAGTGGCTTTTTTCTTTTTCTTTTTTTCCTGTTTCTGACGAGACCTGAAGTCTCTCAGTTCTAGGAGTCATGGGATGCAAAGACCCACAGCGGTTTAACATACACTGACATACAGTCAAACGGCAGGTTAATAAAGCGTTCGGATAAGCTTTTAGCAGCTTCGCTGGTTTTGGGAAGTTTTGCAGCGAAACAACCTACCACGGAAAATGCATAGAGTTTCTTTTTTATGCCATTTGATCTTTGACTTTTAGAATTTCTAAGTTATTTTCGAAACTGGTTCCGACTAGGGCAGCAATAATGTTTAACCCTATGTGGTAATAGTTTGAGAATTTAAATCTGCAATAACTTCACAATGATTTCAGTTGTTCCTGGTCAAATGCACAGTCTCTGTTGAACAGGTGACAGATGGAGTCCAGAGCTTGGAGGCCATGGAGTATCAGTCTGTCCCTGCACTCAGCACAGCTCTAAGGTTAAGAATCAATCTGTCAAATATTTAACTGCATTGTGGTGTCTAACCATGTCAAGAGACCAACCATGACTTTCTACTTCTTGCTTTATTTTTTTATTTTTCTACATCTTTCCAGCAAATGTGTCTTTAATATTTACAATTAAGAATATGTTATGTTACTGTATAAAGGGAATACTGTTATTTATTTGTATGTTAGATTAGATTTTGTGTGGAAATGTCAAGAAATCAGAAATGAATAAACATATTACTGCTACGTCACTGCCACTTTGATTTTGCTGAAACTTTTGTACCATATTTTAAACATTTTATTGTGATTGTTGACTCTTGTAACCCTCAGGCCTGGCGTGAAGCTGCAGCTGCAAGGGCAGATGGTCTGCAGACTCGGGATGCTTCTGTTGAAGGCGTCCAACATCAAGGTTCTGGGTGGTGAAGTGGAGGACCTGGTGGAGAGGAATAACCAGGTACACTGTTGGTTTCGCTTGTCTATCAAAAGCAGATTTAAGCCGATTGTGTTTTCTTAATTAGTTTTTTTTCAAATTTGATGTGAATACTATTTGGTCCTAATCACCTTGTGATTCATTTTTTATTTAATGCAACATTGAGAGTACACCTAGTTGTTATGCGGCAGTTACCGTTTACAGCTTCTAAAGTGACAAAATCTCAGCTGTTGTCATAAAGCAGTGTATTAAATGCAATAATGTGTACAGGTTCAGTGGATTAATTCTACTCTGACAGGGCAAGGTGCTGTGTCGGACGCTGGGACTCCCCGAGGAGCAGCAACAGGGGGGAGCGGCCCCCCCGGCACCACTACAAGGTATATTCAATTCATTTAAACAATTTAGATTTCATATAAAATAAGGCCTGTTTAAGGAGGAAAATGGACGCCTTAATTCTTATCTTAAGCTAGTTATTTCAGAATTGAACATAATCATGATATTGTGCCTCGTTTGTTTTCTCTTCAGGAAACCAGGAAGTGGAGGACCTGGAGCTAGACGATGCAGAGTTGTTGGCCAGTCTGGAGGCCCAGGAGCAGGTGGAAAGGGTTCAGGTGGGGCCTGTTCCAGACAGTGGCTACGGGACGCTCAGTGAGACCTCCACTCAGTCCTCGAGAAGCTCCTCTATCAGGAGCCTCGTCTCGACAGCCTCATCCAGGTGGGTGGTTAACATTGACATTTTGATGCCGGAACTCCTCGATGTTCACTGCCGGGCAAATACACCTTGACATTTTGAATTTTAGCATAATGTTTGTCTTCAGAAAGAATCTCAGCGTTTATCTTTCCTCTACTTTGAGAAGCATTTACCACTTACTGACTCTACTACCTATAGACGGACATATTTTATATATGATTTCTGTCCTTTGCTATCTTTATCTCTGCCTGCTGTCCTGTGAATTTCCTGCACAGTCGGAAACAAATGAAAGTAAATTGCCACATAATTTGATCATTTTGATTTGAACGACAAAGGCAGTTCAGTACTTATGATTTAAAAACAACCTGTCTGGTGTCAAATTATTGTAAATTTACCAACTTCAGGCTTTACTCAAAGATAAGACTTAACCGCTTTGAGTAATATCTGACTTATATCTCGATCCCCTTGTTTCTGTAGCTGTAGAATGTAGCGTAAAATGTTCCATAGCTGAATTTTTGGGGTATACCTCTGGCACATTGGGCCCAATAACTTGAAAATACATGCTGGTTTGAAACTATATTATTTAAGTCCAACATTTTTGGCGGGTCTCTTGCAGAAATGAAGCCTCTGCCCGCTCTTACAGAAGTGGTTTGGCCCAGAGCAACAGAGGTGGTTCAGTCCATGGTCATCGCCACCATAGCCAACAAGAGGAACCCGACCTCTCGATTCAACAGGAGCTCTCGGATCACAACATGGTAGTCGATGACTTTCCCGATGAGGACTTTGACAATCTTCCTCTGGACGAGTTGGACAGTGTGATTTTTCAACAAAGTGACAATGCTACCACGCAGTCTGTCAGCAGTCACAGAGGCACAACACAGAGCAGCGACAGAATAACGGGAATTCCTAACAGGGCAACAAATGCCCAAACTGCTCAGTTTGAGCAGCACACTTTGGATGGCCCTGGGTCACGGCTTGGTTCTAGCAATTCAAGATCCACCACACAGAAAAGAGACTATGAAGGCTGTGTTAAGGAAGCTACAGGGCAGGTCTTGTCCCCAGCAGCAGCTCTCCAGCCAACGCATGAGTTAGGCTGTGTTACTAATGATGAGAGTGATTTCATGGATGACGATATGGACTGCCTTCTTGCAGAGGTAGAAACCGGTTGGACCGGACAGTCAAATCAGCTCCCTATTCAACAAGAACCAAGTAGAAGCCGAGAGAGTTTCACCAACAAAACAGGAACTTCAGGTTCCAGTCATAGACTTACCAGCGACTCATCAAGGAGTGCAACAGAAAGGTTTTCATTTGAGAGCTCTCACAACACCCCTCAGGGGCACAATTATAACCCAAACAATGCAGCATTTGAATCTGTAAAAATAGACCGTCAGAGTGACGGCTCGGTCCCTGCCCTCACTCTGACATCTCCACCGTTTACATATTTGTGCCTGCTAGAGGAGATGACGTCCAAACCAAGACCTCACGCCGCAGAGATCCGAGTCAAAGCTTTCATTGTGACTCTCGTGGGGAAACTGAGCAGCAACAACGGCCTTTGGCGCGTGTGCGCCACAATATCCGATGGAACTGGCTACCTGGACGTGGAGCTGTCCGATGAGGTTTTGACGGGCCTGCTAGGCTTCTCGGTGGCGGGAAAGGCGGCTCTGAAGCGTGACCCAGCCCGGAGAGGTGAGCTGGACACCGGGATGAAGAGGTGTCAGGAAGACCTGGTGGACATGTGCTGCATTATGACCGTCGCGCTTCAACCAGACGGCAGAAAGGCTGTGGTGACCAAGGCGGACCGAGTCAATGAGAAAGTATTCCAGGAGCTGGAGCAGAGGCTGAGAGACGGGAGAAAATAGACAGAGGACTGGTTGAGGGGAAGTGGGCGATAATCAGAAAATTACAGGCAGCGGAGGAGTATATTGCCTTTAAGCAGAGATGGAAAATTGCAAATATAAGCATTTTGGTGATTAACCTGCCCTTCTGCTTTAGATTTGGAGAGCAGAATGTGTGAACTGGATGTCTGATGATCAGCAGGCAGTGTGTTGCAATGCATCCCATCTGCTATATGTGAATGTGACATTCTGTCATTTTGTCATCAAAGGATTTCATTCATCTATTCATAGAGCTATTTTCTGCTTGACACGCACTGCATCACTCCTATGCAAAGTGAACAGATCTTTAATATCTACATTTTCGGTTATCAACATATAAGTTCAAACTTTTTAATGTATGTGACATTAAACACGAATGTGAAGAGAAGAGTGCAGCATGTGAGATGAGAGCAGGGAATCGGGGGAGAAAATAATTCATACTGTGATTGTTGTAATGAATTGCCAGCCTCTGCATTCATTCAGGACATCCATTGCTTCTGACTGAAAAATTATTGAATATCCAAGGGCAGCGTGGGTCTTTAATAAACTCCCCCCAGAGGAGATGAGAGGAAAGGGAGATAAAGGAGAGGCCATGCTTTGCGATTATTTCTGTTCATTATAGAGCCTCATCTGTTTTTGTCTTTGATGAATAAACCCCAAATTCGTTGCCTTGCCTGTATTTACTGTATATTGAAATAAAACTGTTCTGAAGGTTTTACAATTTTCTCTCACTCTTTGACTATTAAAACATGCTTGAAGTAAGAGCTCGCTGCTAATTTCATATTTCCATTTCTCCTTGTCAAATGAGTATTTTATTCCCAAAGAATAACTATTAAAAACAATAACCGGACATAGCAGTGTTTCATTTGGTTTGAAATAGCTTTATTAAACGCACCTTTGGGATATGCACTGTTTAAGCACACATAATGGTCATTTAATGTATAGCTCTGCAATATTATCGTGTAGCTCGTCAGGGGTGTCGGAAATGTCTCTTGAAGATGAAACATCTCAACAATTTGCAACTCAAATTGATTTGTGTCTTGTCTGCCATCGTACGATGTAATTAGGTGTCAGTCTCTCACACTTCAATTGCCTCAGTGTGAAAATGAGCGCACTGAGGACACAGGCTAAGAAATGCACGGCAGAGAATGTATGTTGGTACGTGTGTGTGCTTACATTGTGTGCGTCTGTGGGCTCATACGTGTTTGTTATTGTGTTACGGCTCTGTGTGCACTTCCATTCAGGTAGCGGATCTCTGTTCGTTACGGGCTAATCAGGTTGAACGTCTAAATCAGGGCCCTGCTATGCATGTCGATAACCTGTTATGTGCTAATGAGGCCTGATACGATGGAGAGGGGGAGCGCGGCATCCCATAGGGAGATACAAGTGGAATAAATATTGGGTGATAGAGTAAATGAAACATAACGGGTGTGTTGCCACAGGGATCCTGCAGTCAAACATCACCGTATACATAATGTATATATTTAACTGGTAGTTAATGACAGGCGGCTTTATGGGGAGGCCCCTGTAGCTGTTTACAACTAATTTATATGAGAAAATACATTTCCTTAATATGTGTTTACTTTGTTTATTTTTGTGTCATATTAACCAGGTGTATATTAAGTAAGGAAACAAGAAGGATGAAGAACAGGGAGAAATTACTACATGGGGAATAAAAGAACGTAAGGTCCACATATAAGTGTAGTACTATTAAATGAAAGTACCAATCAATTTAAGTTTCAAGTCCTTAAAGTGGGCAGACAAAAATAGAAAAACCAAATAAACTCCATCTGTTGATGCACATCAGGTAATCGATAGAAAGCTCAATATTTTGTCAAAAGATTTTTTTTACAACTAATTAACAACTGAGTGTCAGATAATGTAAAGTAATATATTACACGATGATAATGTGCATTTACTCAAGTACTTTAGAAATAGAATTTGGGGAATATTTCCATTTATTTCTGCTTTTGACTTCAGAGGGAAGTGTTTTAGTTTTATCTATTTCAAAGCTCTAGTAGCTCTTTATTCAAACCAATGAGTTTATAAAAATTGTGTTTTTCGAGACAGTAAAGTAGTCACAATTAATCCCACCTCAAACATCTGTACATTTAAATGCTTAAATGTTCGGTAATATGTCAATAATAATAATCCATAAACATAACATGTATAATAATACAGCACACTTAAAGGGGCCATTTTGCATAGTGGCTTGTTTTATTTTTTAGATTTTAGATTTATTTAGCCGATTCTAATTAAATGTTTCGTGCAATACTTTAGTTTTTATTTTCTTAAGTTAAGATCTGTGTACTTCTTCCATCAGTGCTAATATATATATATATATAATATATATAATATGAATAAAGCCTTTTCGGCAATAAATATTCAAGACGGAAGTGGGCAGGAACAAAAACAGCACACAGGACATGAACCAAACACTTAGAGCAGGAATCCAACTCTCAGAGAGCTGAGATCATTTCCTCCTAAATATATTACATGTGCACTCTGGATCGGAGGTTCATTGAAAGGCTGGACTGCACAGTCTTGTGAGGAAATTACAATTTTTGAGTCTTTAAAAGTTTGTCATGCAGTGCATGATAATCGACATATTTCAGAAGCATGAGAAAGTGCTCGACAGCCCTAATAGCTTTCCATTTGCAATATTATTTCCTCGATGTTAGGCTTCCACTTCTGTCTCAGTCCGGAGCTGTAGCAGGGAGAAAAAAATATGCTTTTTCATTCCCCTGTTAGTTTGGCTGTACCTTTTCCAAATTGCAAATAGCAGGCGAGTGGAGTAGACTGAGACAGGAGGGACAGAGCGCTCACATTGGAAACAGAGCACTGTGCTAATTTCTCTAATGTTCATATACAGCTGCACTGTACCTCTTTGGCCATTAGAAATATCAATGAAAAAAGTACATGAGCAATTCTAATACCCCTCCTGCTACAGCAGATGTAATTTTCTTTGCCCTATTACATTTAGTAATGAAAAATCCACTTAGACAGCTCAACCTCTTTTTTAGGCCCCCATCAAAATGAGCAAATGGTTTCTCTTCATGGCAAAAACATACCTCTTTACGTGTGTGTGTGTGTGTGTGTGTGTGTGTGTGTGTGTGTGTGCATGCTTGCCGAGGCTTGAGGATGTGAATCATTAAAGGAATTGAAAAATATGAGGAACTCGGACTAAGGAAACAATAAAGTACCTTTCTACTTTGTTTTGGCTCATCTGGGTTGATGGAAGGGATGATTATTGTGATTTGAAAAGAAATGATGAAAGGCTCATAAAGTTTTCTGGTGTGTTATTTTATGTTAACTGATCAAAGTTTTTGGTGTTTTGGGTATTGTAAATTAAAGCCCAATCAATATGTTAATGTCTCAACATATAGATCTTCTATGAAATAAGACGTCTCATTTTCATTTTTATTTAAATATATTAAAATCAATTATCAGCATTAACTCCAGCCTGCAGTCGTCACATACACCCATACATAATATCAAAGAGTAACAATAAACAAAAAAGATACACATCAATGGAGATTTGTCTAATTTTGCAATTAGATCAGAAATAGTTGGCTGATCTTCAGTGGTGGAGAAATGCTCAGATAAATAAGTAAAAGTAAGTAAAAGTAACAATACAACAGTGTAGAAATACAATTAAAAGTCAAGCATTCAAAAGGTAAACAGGTTTTAGTATAAAACTATACTTAATTAATACTTAGTAAAACTCACCATGTAGATTGGCCCATTTCTAAATAATATATTATTAATTATGTATGCATTAATTAATTAAAACGGTCAATCCATGGAGAAATACACAAAGCCTGTATTCAGAAACTATGCCTTTAAAGGAGCAATATACAGGAGCATTAATATAGTGGTGACCAACTATTCGCTATAAAGATATCGTAGAGAAATGTCTATCTGAGCAGAGAATGAAGTCTCTCTCCCTCTGTGTGTGTGTGTGTGTGTGTGTGTGTGTGTGTGTGTGTGTGTGTTGTTATCCAAGCTTCTCCTTGCTTTATTGACAAAGCTGGCCGGCCTGTTGTGCTTTTAGTGCATGTACATGTGCGCGTGCCCCAATGGCTACAGCCGCGGCTCTGAACTGCTCTCATATGGCGGTTACAGCTGATGACGCCATCCCAACTGACAGCGTCCAGTACCCCCTTAGGTAAAAAACTGTTAGTTCTGTCAGCACGTTTGCTGTAGTTTGTGCTGTTAATGCTGTCAGCACCGTCAGCTACGAGTCGCTGGCTCAGACGTCGCCATGTTGTGAGCCATTGAGAGGCAATCCAAAGGCTCCCAATCTCGTAATATGCACCTTCGAACGATCCGTCAGGATTTCCGTACAGCTGTGGTGTCACAATACAATGGTTTCACAGTTTGAAACATACATATTCTAAATGTGTCCCAGTCTATTTCTGGTTTCAGTGTATGTGAGTGACATCAGCTGACAGGAAGTAAATATGGACCCAAACTGTTGCCCAGCAACACAATTCCGCTGAAACGCACTAAAACGGAGCATTTCAGACAGAGCGATTACAGGTAAATTCAGACGGCTTGAGAAAGATAAAAGAGCATTTGAACATGTTCTAGTGAAAACCCAAAACACAAGTGAGCATGTTATGTCTCCTTCATAAGAATCTGAATCTGCAAAGCAACACCATCAAATAAATGTAATAGAAATAAATTACAAAATGTGCTGGAGTAGAAGTATAAAGTAGCATTTAGAAATACTCAAGTAAAGTACAAGTACTTCAAAATTGTACTTAACAACAGCTATATGCTTGAGTAAATATATAGTTACCTTCCATACCTGCAAATCTTATACAACTTCCTGGTTGAGTTAAGAGCAGCAGGCTATGCTTTAGCGGGTTGAGTTGGGCCATTACATTCTCCAGCAAGCGTGTATGAGATGGTGCCTCAGTCGCTGAGCGAGCAGTGTAGAGAAGGCCACAACAACAGCTTGGTTAGCTTTGATCTTTAAGTCCTTTATGGCCGTCAAAGGGTTAGGATCAATAACTTTGCCACATGCATTTGAAAGGGCACCAAAAATCCCCCAGCTGCAAACACAACCAGATCATGGCTGTCGGTGCCCGGATCGCCTTTAAGCATTTAGGGATAGGTTGATCATTTTTCAAGTCTGTCTAAAAACAATAGTCAGGTGCCGGTATGAACGCTGAAACAGGTTTTGCTTGATATAATTATTCCTCCCGTTCATACTGGCCATTAAAAGATCCCGTCCTAATGAGCGTTCATGTAAGTGATTGGGAACAAAGTCCACAGTACTTGAGTAAATATACCTTTAATGCAATGGGTTAATCTCCAGCCATTCTTAGACAAAAACATTTTTAAACCCTAAAAAAACACACAAGTAAGACATTTTGTTAACTATATTTCAACAGTAAAACTAATCTTGAATGCGTCATCTTTTCTTTGATGGAAAATGCAGAAATATGGCTGTTTGAAACAATGTCTGTAGAGCAAGATATGAAAAGACTGTAATGATTTGGAAAATGTAATCTTGCAATTAATGAGAAACAATTAATCCGGGCTTCGACCTACTGATGGTGAATGATGGTTAACTAGACTTAATGGGAAAGCCTATTAAAGCTCAGGCAATTCTGAAAGAGTGCAGACAAATGACTGACAGGCCCACAATACAGCTGGCCTCTCTCTACGTCCTACTCTCATACTACCAAGGCATTACGACCATTTGGATTCGAGCAGGATGTACTTGAGCAGCAGG